GTGATGGGTATTAAAGAGGGCATGTTCTGCGTGGAGCACTGGGTGTTATGCACAAACAATGAATCATGGAACACTACATCCAAAACTAATGATGTAATGTATGGTGATTAACATAACAATAAAAAATTAAAAAAATCCTGGCAAATATTATGTAAACACAGATAAGCTAATTCTAAATTTTTATGGAAAGACAAAGGAGCTAAAATACTTAAAACAATTCCAACAAAAAATAAAATGGGAGGAATCACTGCTCATGATGCTGAGACTTATTATATGGCTACAGTAATCAAGAGAGCCTGGCATTGGTGGAGGGAGAGGTAGAGATCAGTGAACAGAACAAAGAATGAGAAATAGACATACACACATATAGGCCCAACTCAATTTTGATACTGCTACAAAAGCAATTCAATGGAGGGAGTATAGCCTTTTCACAAATGGTGCTGGAGCAATTAGACATCCATAGGCCAAAAACAAGGATCTTTGACTTAAACTTCACACCTCACAATTAACATTAAAAATTGACACAAAATGGATCAAAGACTTAAATGTGAAACATAAAATTATATAAGATTTATATTATCGATGTAAAACATAAAACAATATAAAACTATATACTTAAATGTAAAACATAAAACAAACTACTTTGAGAAAATTCTTGGGACTTAGGGCTAGGTAAAGATTTTTCAAACTTGATGCCAAACTCACAACCCATAAAAGGAAAAAAATGTTAAATTGGCCTTATCAAAATAAAAAATGTTTGCTCTGTTGAAGACCCTGATACAACAAAAAGACAAGCCATACATAGTGCCTACAAAAGAATAGTAAGCAGGAGACTTTTGATGATGGAACAGCTCTGTAATATAATTGGGGTGGTGGATACACAAATTTACAGGTAAGATAAATGTTCAGAAAGCAACACACACATGCACACATACACACACAAATGAGTGCACATAAAACTGTTGAAATCTGAATAAGTTCTGTGGCTAGAACCAATGTCAATTTCCAATTCCATACTGTACTATAGTTATGCAGGATATTACCTCAGGGGAAAGAGCTTGAAGACCATACAACATGGGACCTCCCATGACAACTTCCTGTGAATCTATAATTGTGTCAAAATGAAAGTTTTATAAATAAATAAATAAGTATGTGAATTTAAAATAACTCCATGCCCACCCGCTGGTTTGCGAAGACAGAATAACATTCTTTCACTAGTACTGTTTTGATCATGTCCGGATCCGTGATAGCCAACACAAGCTGTTACCCAACATAAAACCTGTGTCGGGAAAACAGAGCTGATTACACTTAACATGACAGTTTTTGCAGTTGCAGCCATGCCTGGAAGTCCAGACTTTTATCCTGATGTTTTTTATCTAAAATCTGACATCATGATTAGAAATAACATTAGAAAAAAAGAAATAAAATTAGAACATTTGTTAATTCTAGGTGATGTATACACGGGTATTTCCTTGACCATTCTCCATAGTTTTTTGCATTTTTAGAATATTTCAAGTATTTTTGATGTATTTTAGACATTTCAAATACTTTTTATATATCATCAAGAAGCAACTTAGGTTAGTGAATACCTGAAGGCAAGCAAATTATCTAGGAACAAAAAAATGAGGGAGAGTCCACCCACTTAGATATGAAAAATTATAATTTTGAAGAAATACCAAACACATGAAATGCATAGGAGAGAATATTAGATGAAAATTGAAGACACACTGATCACAAATATGTAAGATGTCTGCAAATGAAAAAGTCTTGGAATGCTCAAAAAGTGATGGTAGGATTATGAATGATTTCTTTGCCCTATTTTCTAAAATTTCTCTCCTAGTTACATTTTTAAAAAGACTTTACTTATTTATTTGACAGAGAAAGAGAGAGAAAGTGCACAGGCAGGGGGAGAAACAGAGGGAGAGGGAGAAGCAGGCTCCCTGTGGGACCCAGAGATCATGACCTAAGCCGAAGACAGATGTTTAACCAATTGAGCCACCCAGGCACCCGTCCTTCCTAACTACATTTTAAAAGAAATATTATTTTAACCATTAAAGAGAGGCCCTTGGTAATGTCAAAGTCAGAAAAATTTGAAACAAAAGGACAAAGAGAATAAAGAAATACACAGGAACATGTATAATTCATTTTAGACATATTTTCTTTTCATTACTGGTTTTTATTCTTATATGTAGGTCCCAAGTCTGAGTTCCTTGGGCTCCATGTAGGTAACATCCCGGAGCAGAAGGGCACGCCCACTTTTCACACATGTCTCACACAAAGCTGACTCTTTATATGTGATCCATCCCTATTAGTCCTGACCTGACTGTCAATATGGCCCATTAATGGGAATCAGCCACCAGCATGAGGTTTACTTTAAGTTAAATTACACTGTCCTCTAACATTGTATTTTCCTCTATAAATCATTTGCATTTACCAGAACAAAATGAAAAATTTTCCACAAGTCTATTCTTTCTTTGACATCACAGAGGAATTTCAAATAGTTTTGTGATCACATCTGAAAATGAATAGTTGAACACTACACCAAAAACTAATGATGTACTATATGTTGGCTAATTGAACATAATATATAAATAAATAATAAATAAATAAATAAAATAAAGATGAATGAGAATCACTGAACTAAATGCTGTGCATCTCTAAAAAGTGTTCTAAAACTCAGAAGGTTTCAGTGGGAGATGAGTACATTTTGTGTTGTAGCAGTGATAGAAGTTAATGAGGTGGCACATAGGTAAGCTCTCCCATCAGCCTGATCATATTTCCCCTCATCCTATCATATTTGTTCAAAAACACCTGGATGGACAAGGGACAGTGGTTTGGGGTAACCCTTTATATTCATGATCTCACACAGCCCTAATATTGTTTCCACTACCAGTTAATTTCAGATTCTTGGGACCCACCCCATATCCTCCAGATTCGGTGTTGCTGGGGCATGGGGCGCAAGAAGCTGCATTTTGAACAAGCTCTCCCAGGTGATTCTTACCCACAGCCAAGCATGAGAGCCACGTACTAAGGACAGAACTGGCCCCACGATGTAAGACTGGCTCCATCCAGAGCTGACCAGTACTGAATGTGGGAAGGGGCAGTGGAGCTGAACCAGTGGTGATCCAGAGATCTGGGTTCTTTCTATTCTGTCATTTTGCTTATGGCCCATCCCACTCAGAGCCCTATGGTTTCTGAGGCTTTGACCAGAGAAGATAAAGAGGTGCGAGGAGGTACACTATTGGTTGTGAGCATCCCAGCACCACACTGTACCTCTTCCTCTGCTTCATCAAGCCTCTGGCCGCACTGAACAGGAGCATCCACTGCAAGCAGCCAAGGCCATACTACAGAATCACCAAGGCCATCAGCCCACCAGGAAACACTGTGGTTTAAAATTTTCCTACATCTCTTCAAGTACATAGAATAAAGAAACATTTGTATATTGAATACTTCTATTGAAAGAAAAATCTTGGCTTGATATTTTTTTCCTCACTGTGGTCAAGTGGGATTTATTCCTGGGTTGCAATTGTGGTTTAATACCCATCACCCGGTTATTCTATCCCCCCAATGCCCTCCCTTCTGTAACCCTCAGTTTATTTCCCAGAGTCCAGAGTCTCTCATGGTTGTCTCCCTCTCTGATTTCTTCCCATTCAGTTTTCCCTCCCTTCCCCTGTGGTCCTCCATGCTATTGCTTATGTTCCACATATGAGTGAAACCATATGATAATTGTCTTTCTCACAAAACAAACTCCACACTTCTAGTGAAAGTAAGAAAAGGTGAGCAGAAATGGTTTCCCATTGTGTTTACCCCAACCCTTCTTTCAAAAGGGCATATTTAATCCAAAATATAAATAAAGGATACCCTCCAGGCCCGATTTGCACTTGGACCTGCACACCTGGTGACATAGAATCCCAGGAAGCAGAGGCTCCAGAAGCTTTACTACAGTGGGCTGTATCCCAGGGGGCTCTTGACTGAGACTGTCCACACCATGAGGGCCTCATCATAACAAGTCTATCCATTGGAAATGTCCAGAATGCTCACCCCCACATTCTTCCATACTTTCTAAAACATTTCTCATCAAAATCACAAAAACCCTGCAAGAAGAAACAAAATATATTACTAATCTAAATATACTGAGTCCTACATCTAACAAGGACCCAAATGACTTAGATCACATGAAATGTGGCTTACTATCTCTCACTGGCAGTTAGAGGGAAGCTCTTATTCACAGGTGACTTACCAGAAAAAAGAAAACAGAGGAGGTACTGAAACAGAATTTCAAGTTCCTCTTGAATTATGTCCAGGTAGTGTAGATACTGAACAATTTACCATATTTGTGAAGACTATGTAACCTGTCTGTCTGATGTGTTTTTCTTATGCATGTGCTGTCTCTAAATCTCAGAACCCTCTGAATTATTTACCTCCAGGGCCATGTGGGAAAACTGAAGCTGAGGGGAAGTCAGCATGGCCTGAACATTCTGAATGCTCAGTCAGCGTCTTGTTTATTGATCTCATGAGCCCTACTGGAATTCCAGTGGATTTAGGATATTAAGACACCAGTGACCTCTTCTAGTCTAGCAGATTTATACAAGTCTAAGACATATTTGTTGAGTGAGAGAGTGAGAGATGAATGAATGAATGACACAAGGTGGACTCGCCTTCCAGTCCTCCACCTCAACATGGAAAGATGGGATGGTGCCACTACTCCACAAAGGGCAGAGTCGATTAAAACATTTGATATGAGTTTTCACTTCTGTCACTTAAAAAAAACAACAACAAAACTTACTGTCCTTAAGTTTCAACTGTGATTTTGATGTTTTAACTGTGCAAAACGGGGTCCCAGAAATGTGGGTTTTGGGTGCAAGTACTAAGGAGTTGATTTGGGAACTGTGGAAAGGAAATTATTACTTTTTCAGAGGGAAAAGCCCAAGTAGTTCTTAGATGATAATTGGAAACCGAGGGTCTCAGTGGGGGAAAGTGGGATCTGAAAAACAAGCCTCAGGTCTGTGAGAAAGGAACTCCACAGCAGAGAGCAGCCTGCACGTGAGACTGTGCCCACTGGCCTTCTTGATGTGATCTCCTAACCCTCTGTCCAGAAGCTGGGCCTCGGACAAGGAATCAGAGCTAGATGAGCCACAGTGGCTCCACCAACATCAGTGTGTGTGTCTGCTAGTACATTCCATTCAGTTACATTAATTTCTTTTTTTTCTTAAAGATTTTATTTATTTATTGAAAGAGAGAACAAAAGCAGTGGGGGAGGAGCAGAGGGAGAGGAAGAGAAAGAATCTCAAACAGACTCAATGCTGAGTGCAGAACAGATGTGGGGGCTCCATCCCATGACCCTGATATCAGGACCTGAGCTAAAATCAAAGGTCCAATGCTTAACCGACTAAGCCATTCAGGCACCTCCAGTTACATTACGTTCTTAATAATTTTGTTAAAGTAGCTCTCTTCTAGTGATATTATAAGGACAGTTCTTCCTTTGTATGAAAAACAAAACACACACACACACAGAACTCATTTAAAGGTTAAATCTGGGGTGCCTGGGTGGCTCAGTTGTTAAGCGTCTGCCTTCGGCTCAGGTCATGATCCCAGGGTCCTGGGATCGAGCCCTGCGTTGGGCTACCTGCTCAGCGGGAAGCCTGCTTCTACCTCTCCCACTCCCCCTGCTTGTGTTCCCTCTCTCACTGTGTCTCTTTCTGTCAAATAAATAAATAAAATCTTTTTTTTTTAAAAAAAGGTTAAAATCTGAAGTCAATAGACAAACACCATCTCACCTCAGTTATACTCCCTCTCTGTTCAACTCACCCATAGCGTGCCTCCTCTGAAGTTTGAGAAGTAAAGCTGAGAGCTCTCCTTCAACCTCTCAAATCCTAAGAGATTTTGCCATTAGCAAAGGGAGAATTAGAGCAATGGAAATAACTGCAGGGGATTGGCCAGTTCTTGAGAGAATTCAAGTATGTACAAATTCCCTAAAGGTGAATCTTGGGCTGCCCAATAAACTGAAGTTCCAGAGCTATCCTGGAAAAAGAAAAGGCTATCCAGAGCTTGTGCTATGAACAAAAAAGTCTGACTCTAGCATACACAGCTTAATGGACCACTAACATGGACACCCTTGATGCTCTTCTCCTAATACCAAGTACAACTATGTCTTCCTGGGAACCTGCAACTGCCAGAAAAAAAAAAAAGCCTCTTCAGGATGCTCACAAGCTAAAACATCATCCTTCGCTGAATTAGCCAGAGAGCTGGGCTGCCCACTGAGGAAAACACCGAGGCTCCTAACAGCAGACAATATAAGCCTGGGGTAGACTTGGCCATGTGCTGGGTGGGGCCTATGACACCATTTCTGGAAAGTCAGGAAACCTAAGAACTACTTCCTGAGGAGGAGTATTTTTACTACGGAACTAAAATGGGATTTGCAACCTTAAGAGGAAAAAGAGGGAGCTCAAACAACACTCACATTTTGGTAACCATGAACAGTTCCCAAAAAAGGCAGAGGTGTTGTCCCAGGAATTCCCAGCTTCTTAAAAAGTCCAGGTGTGGGGCGCCTGGGTGGCTCAGTTGGTTAAGCGACTGCCTTCGGCTCAGGTCATGATCCTGGAGTCCCGGGATCGAGTCCCGCATCGGGCTCCCTGCTCAGCAGGGGGTCTGCTTCTCCCTCTGACCCTCCCCCATCTCGTGTACTCTCTCTCTCTCTCATTCTCACTCTCTCAAAATAAATAATAAATAAATCTTAAAAAAAAAAAAAAGTCCATGTGTGGAGGTCCCATATCTATAAAGTGAAAGAGAAAGCCAGGTCAGAGGGATGACTGAGTAAGTGCTGAGGCTGGCCAGTCACTGATGCAGAACTGGAACAAGCAAGGGAGGGAGGTAAAATGTAGGCAAGAAATAATAAGAGCAATTCCAACGACAATAATTACATTCATTCATCATCTCCTTTCCCACCTCCACTGTGAGACCTACAAAAAGTGACGATGATTATATAAGAGTAGCTTAAAACATCATGGTCTCAATCCTAGAATGAATACTGGAGAAATGTTCCACACTTGAAAATTGAAAGGTTCATACTGATTTCTTCCAGGAAATTCACTCATGCCTATTTAGTAAATGACTCTTCCATGATTTTGGAGATTCTCATTCTAGGTGGAAAGAGGAAAAATTGTTTCTCTCCTCCAATGATGAGATTTTGCTTAATTGCACCTACTCAAGTAGGTTGGAGCCCACCAGCCTACTCAGGAGCTGAGGGTTACTGAGAGCCTACCAGGAATATGCTCATACAGTTTGCTCAGAGACCTTTGTGCTTTTTCTTCCTTGTTGGCTCTGTAATGATTTTGGATCTGGACCTTCTTAAATCTTTGTAGACAGGCCTTGAGCAACAACAGTGTTCTTATTTCTGTACAATGAAAACTGTCCAAGACTCCACTGGCCTCATTGAAAGTGAGATACTTTCAGCTCCACCCAAGTCTCTGTTGTCAGGCACTCTGATTCTCTTGAGCTGCAGAGAAGGGGGGACTAACCTATATGTGCCCTAAATGATACCATATAAAATAATCAGTAAGGAAACAATCCATTTCCAGACCATTCTTCCCCTTATGGCATCTGGTCCTTCAACTTGTGATACTCACTTGCTCAGCACACTGCCAGGAACACTCATTTTTTTAAAGATGGTCACTCACAAAGAGTTATTTTACCAAATCTGTGCATCAACTATCTCAAAAACCCATCACACAACTGAGGGTTCTAGATCCTCGCAGTCCTTCCACTGAGGTGTTGCTGAGAGATGGCAGAGTGGTGGAAGAAGACAGGCTGAAGGAGGAAGCTGCCAGAAACCATTTGACCCATGAACTTGCTAGGCCTCCAAGGCTAACCCCATAGAGGCAATTTAGGAAAGTATGGCGGGAAAGGATGCTAGGTAGAAATGGCTCAACAAGCCCTGTAGGTGCTTTCAGCTCACTAATAGGGGGCCTTCCAGAATTCAGATACCTCCAGTTGACAGCAGAATATGTATTTTTATTTTATTTATTTATTTGACACACAGAGAGAGATAGCGAGAGAGAGAGAGAGAGAGAGCACAAGCAGGGGGAGCGGCAGGCAGAGGGGGGAGGCGGGTTTCTTGGTGAGCAGGGAGCCCGATGTGGGGCTTGATCCCAGGACCCTGGGATCATGACCTGAGCTGAAGGCAGCAGTTTAACCAACTGAGCCACCCAGGCGCCCCGACAGCAGAATATGTATTATGCAACATAAAATGAATAATGATAAAATGTCCCAGAGATTGGGATTAAGGCCTTGTCTCGTCTTCTCTGGAGGCTAGCCTTTAAGGCACTACAGGTTCTGAATGTTCTGTACAAATCCAGCCAATCTTACATAGTCAAATAAACTCACAAAATTTCATGAAAGGACATGTGCTTTAGGGTCCCAGCAGAGGCACCTCAGCCTGGCCCAGCTGGGTGTTTGGATCCTTCCTCTACTACAGTTGAATGCATCAGCACTGATTGCAGAAGCCAGGGTTAGTCCCACCTCCATTCCCACCTCCATTCCTTGGTTAGTCCCACCTCCATTCCTTCTTTGCCATCACCACCACAACAAATCAATTCCTTTTTCTGAACATTCAACGTGTTCCGTGAACTCCCAAGTGAAGCCAAGCAACTGAGTGAACGTGTCAGCAACACTGGTTCCAAGGAAAGATCTGGTCTAGTGTCTAAAGTCACATGGCTCCATAAGAAGGCAGAGGGTGGGCTGGGTGAATTTTTCTGATTCTTTCTAGCTTCCCTCTTCTTGGTACTGTAATGCTGCTGTTGGCACAAATGAGGGAGCTAACAAAAAAACCACTCATTTTTATTGCCATTGCATTGCATTGCCTGCAGAGGGCACTGTCTATAGCTACTGACTCTTGGCTACACCAGTGTCTTCTAAGTTAGGTTAGGTTTATTCCTAGGTATCTCATGGTTTTTCATGCAATTGTAAATGGGATTGATTCCTTAATTTCACTTTCTTCAGTCACATTGTTAGTGTATAGAATTGCAACTGATTTCTGTGCATTGATTTTTATATCCTGCCATGTTGCTGAATTCCTGTAGGAGTTCTAGCAATTTGGGGGTGGAGTCTTTAGGCTGTCACATAAAGTATCATGTATCTACAAAGAGAGAGAGTTTGACTTCTTCTTTGCCAGTTTGAATGCCTTTTATTTCTTTTTGTTTTCTGAATGCTGAGGCTAGTACTTCTAGTATTATGTTGAACAACAGTGATGATAGTGGACATCCCTGTTGTGTTCCTGACCTTAGTGGAAAAGCTCTGTTTTTCCCCATTGAGAATGATATTCGCTGTGGGCTTTTCGTATATGGTTTTTATGATATTGAGGAATGTTCCTTCTATCCTTACACTGTGAAGAGTTTTAAGCAAGAAAGGATGCTGTATTCTGTCAAATGCTTTTTCTGTATCCATTGGAAGGATCATATAGTTCTTGTCCTTTCTTTTATTTATCTAGTATATCACATTGATTGATTTGCAAATGTTGAACCACCCTTGCAGCCCAGGGATAAATCCCACTTGGTCGTGGTGAATAATCCTTTTAATGTACTGTTGGATCCTATTGGCTAGTATCTTGGTGAGAATTTTTGCATCCATGTTCATCAGGGATATTGGTCTGTAATTCTCTTTTTTGGTGGGGTCTTTCTCTGGTTTTGGGAACAAGGTAATGTTGGTATCATAGAATGAGTTTGGAAGTTTTCAGCCATCAGAAAGGATGAATACTTACCATTTACATCAATGTGGATAGAACTCAAGGGTATTATGCTGAGCAAAGTAAGTTAGAGAAAGACAATTATCATATGGTTTCCCTCCTACGTGGAATATAAGAAACAGAGCAGAGGATCATAGGGGAAGGGAGGGAAAAGTGAATGGGAAGTCCTCAGAGAGGGAGAAAAACCATGAGAGACTCTTAACTTTAGAGAAATAAAATTGAGAGTTGCTGGAGGGGAGGTGGCTGGGGGGATGGGGTAATTGGTGATGGACATTAAGGAGGGCACATGATGTGATGAGCACTGGGTGTTACATGCAACTGATGAATTATTGAACAGTACATCTGAAACTAATGATGTACTATATGTTAGCTAGTTGAAATTAAGTAAAATAAATAAATTCCAAATTGGCTTTCAGGGTTCTGCCTTTTACATTGAGGGGAAAGAAATCTCTATACTGATGCTAACGCTCCCAGAGACTGGAAAGAAAAGGTAAAATGAATAACATTTCAAGATTTCTGCCAAGTCTCCTCAGCTCTAGAGATACTTATTTAGGGGTAAGGAGTGCTGTATATTACGGGTTGGTAATGGCCAGGAGAAAGGCAGAAAAGAGGGAAGAGGCCAGTCAGGAGAGGAAGGCGAGGCATCTCCAGCTCCCCTGGAAGTCTGGGTGCACCAGGTGCCCTGTGTCCATGATGCCTGGTGGTGGAGAGAGGGCAGTAGGAGCCACCTGAGTGACACAGGCCCAGCCCTTCTACACATCTCTTGCAGTGGACAGAGAGGAGAAGGTGAAGATAATGAGACAAAGACCCAAGCCACTCCCTCTGCCTCCAGAATCTCCACAGCTTGGAAGGCGGTGAGGACCCCAGAGCACCAGACCTGTTGATTTTACTCTGCCTCTGCTGAATTCTGCTTGATTAGTCTAGGTCCCAACCGGTAATCCATCAGAAGATTTTCCCCAGAAGCAAATAATGTCACTTATACCCTGCTAGCAACAGAAATTGTAGTTGGGGTCTGGGAGTTGGCACTCCTTCAACAGATTTGGTAAGGGAAATAATAACCCCTTAAGTGTGCCTAGCATTTTTGAAACACCCAACACTTAAGCAACTTCTTTCTTAACTCTTGATCCTCAAAACAGACAAGGAAAACAGGGTGGATGCTGATTAACAACCCAAGCCCAGGGTTCCAGAGGCGATGAACCTGGACAGTTACTTACAGATAGAACAGCACAAGGCTGGTAGCCAGGAGAAGGCAGGTTTCTGTGGAAAAGCTTGGAATCAGGTCCATGGCCACTTTTCCTCTAGGAATTCTCTTTACTTTCGTTCAGCAGGGTTGCTAGTCGTTGCTGGCCTGCGTGCGCGGAGCTTCCGTTCCCACCAGTGGTGATTCAGTGAGGCTGGAATGTATATACTGGAAATGGGGTGGGACTGGAGTGCAGTCACTAGCAGGTGCCCCCCCAGCCATGAGTGTTGGTAAAGCATCATGGACACACCCAAATTGACTGTTGAGTTCATATTCTGTTCAAAATCAATAAACAACCCAGTGTTATTGGTAATCTCAAAGGTTACAGAAACTCAGGTAAAGTCACTGTCTTTAAAACTCTAACTTGCCCTTGTTACCATGGCTGCCTCTATCTTTAAATACATGAAATCCTTCAAACAAGCTAGGTCTGCACATCTTTACCCATGAAGATTCCTCTGCCTAGAAATACCACTGTGCCCTGTAGAAGGAACCTATTCTTCCTTCAAACCCAGATCCAACAGAATCACCTGTGTTAGGATTTTTCCTCACCAACCTCCTTGAACACATATAACTAACAACTTCCTCCTCTGGGAAATTTATGCCCTCCCCAAAGCCCCAGTTCTGTTATTGTCCTCTCCACCCTCCAGCCATATTGTTGGTCCCCACACCTTAGCCTTAGATAGAGAGCTTCTCAAGGGCGCAGTCTGTGTACTCATCAACATTATGAGCCTAGTCCCCCACAAAGCACTATATGCTCAGGGGGCATCCAGAAAGGTTGGTGGAGTTGAGTTGGTAGAGGTGAAATTGCTGGGCTTCCTGTGTGTCCTTCCTGGGTGGATTGTTGGTGACCAGGCCACATACTTGATGGGAGAGATCTGAGAACATAGCATCTGGAAGTTACACTGGCTCATTATCATCACTCTGACTCATGTTCTGTGTCTGCATGGTCTGAGAAACTGTGGATTATGTGGCATACCTGAGGAATCTCTGGGATAATGGAGCCCTACAAATAGATATTAAGAAAGAAGTGGCTCCAACTTGAATATCAACAATGGACAGACATGGGAAGCTAGAAGATGATCCCCAGATATAGTAGGAGAGAAAGTTCCAGGAATTCTGAAATATTTCTGCCCTGTTTGGTGCCTTCACTGGACACTGTTCAATAGGGCCATGCTATTATCCCTGTTTACAGAAGTAGAGACTGAGTCTCAGTGATTGCAATGCGCTTCCCAACAGCCATTGATCACAAGAACAAATTGTAAATAAGCAAACATGAAGAGAGACTGAAAAGTCTTCTGAATTCTGCAACACTGGTATTCAACATTTGCTCTTCCCTGATAAGGGTCATGACAGAAAACTGAGACCCAAGACTACAAAAGCAAACTGGTTAAATTTCTGTTCCTACCTCCATGGTGGCCTGAACAGCAGCCTCCTTATGCGTCTTTCTGAACAAAGGACTCTGCCTCATCTCAGCAGGGAAGACAGACGCTAGTCAAGATGATAGTAAGAGTATTGTCGGGAGGGATCTGCCTTCCTATGTTCCCTAGTACACAGAATACATGCAAACAAGGAAAGAATCATGTCATATGATAATCTGGACAACTTAATTCTCTCACCTAAACAGAAAGCCTTTCTCATTTTACTTGGAAATCAGGCCTCTGTGGGAACTAATATGGTTTCATCCTCCTCCAAAACACATGCTCGGAAATGATGATTTCATAACTAAGCCTAATATGAGCATCCACCTGCCTTTGTCACCTCAGGGTCTGCTCCAACTTGTTGGGATCTATCCCAACAGTGATAGGCTAGTCATTGCTGGGGACTAAAATGCAGCTAGCTCTGAACCAATGTAGATGACTTGTCTTCAAGGGGACACAATAGAAGTGTGAGCTAGGGAACACCTGACCTGACGAGACTTGCATCTTCAGGGTTGTACAGAAGGTGTGAAGGAAGACACTGTGTGTTGGAAGAATACCCCACACACCCATGGTTCTCACCTACTCCTTCTTGTACTAACATGCTCATCATGTACTTTCCATACTCTGCTCTAAATATGTGGGCTAAAAATATAACTAAGACCCAGACATCATTCCGGTTGAAGATAGAGGAATCTAACAGGTAATTATAGCACAGCCAAGGAAAAGTAATTGCATCCTCCTCAACAGTGAAGGATTTATCTGCTTTCTCAGTCTCCCTCGCTATTGGTCAAAATTGAATCTCAAATACCATTCAGGGAAGCCTTAGGCTCAGATATCAGTGTAGGTGGACAGGTTGTCAGAAACTCAGTGATGCAAGGAGCCCTGGCTAATAGTCTCATTCATCCCTTTGTATCGTGAGCCCACATGGCACCTCTTCTCTTCTCAGAAGCTGGGCCTGATTTCTACTGGCCAAGAGAACCGCTCACAGTAGGAGACCCAGTGTTGTTTTGGAATGATTTGTGCATCACATTCAAATTTCACAGGTCACAATCTCAAGTGTGCAAAAATGAAAGCAAGATTATGTGTCTGTTCTTAAGCTGTCAAGCTCCCATTCTTCTCAGTAAGGTCAAACTTGATCTTGCCAATTCTGGATAACCAGGTGGTATCGAAGTGTTGGTGGCTGGGCCCTGTGGTTGGTGTAGCAGTGGTGAGGTAAGTGACAGGTCCATGGACATTCCTGCCATAGGAGGAGGTGGGCCCCTCTCCCATTGTCATTCGATATTGGTTGGTCTCTATACCTGCTGCATTCAGTCCATGGGCCAAGCACTAAATATTAAAAAGTCAAAATCCTTGCCTTATGAATCTGACACTCTAAAGGGATGAGAGACACTAAACAAATAACACACAACTATGGAGCTATAAATCAAGACCTGCTATAAATTAATGGCATTTGGTATATCTGTTTACTTTGCTCAGCCAGATACCTGACCTCACAGGCCCTTTACAAATGTTTACTGAATATGAACTCATAAACAGTTCAACTGGCGGCTGAGAGAGGACAAGAGTTATAGAGTAACCCCAAATGATGCAATGCAGTTTCTTTTAGCAGGAGGAGGAGACATGAGTTCAAGTTTTAAATGAGACATAATTAAAAAGGTGAGAGTTTGCTGGATGTGGACTATTGACCTTTTTCCTTCTTATCGATTATGTGTAAATGGCTCTTTTCACCATCTGCTGTGTGAGGAGCCACTGAGGACATAAATGTTTAGAGACTTTATTTCCTGGATTCTAATTGGAGCCTGCAGTGTCTGTCCAGCTGTGTAAACACAGAGCAGACAGAGAGCAGGACCACCACACCTCACTTTTCCCCACCTCTGTAGGATCTAAAGAAACTCTAGGATGAGAACCCACTTGTCCGCCTTTCCTAGTGGGCAGAATTTGTCTCTAAACAGTTCCCTAAGTGGAGTGCCCTGTAGGTCAGGAAAAGTTAAACTCCAAAAGAACCAAACAACAGGAGTAAGGAGAACTCATTCTCTCTTTACCAACACAGTGTTTTAGAAAATTCAGTTGGGACTTGCAAGCAGGCCTGGGACCAGCGAAGAGAGTGAGGCATTCCACCTAAGGGCAAAATTGCCAAATTCTTAAAAATCATATAAATAACACACTTTATTTGAACACAATATTTTAAAAAATCAATATTAATACAAAGAAATCAATGAGGGAAATGGTTAGATTTCATCCTTTTGATGGCTGAGTAATATTCCATTATGTATATATACCACATCTCCTTTATCCATTCATCTGTCGATGGACATCTGAGCTTCAGTGGAACTGGAGGGTGTTATGCTAAACAAAATAAATCAATCAGAGAAAGGCAATTATCATATGGTTTCACTTATATATGTAACTTAAGAAACAAAACAGAGGATCATAGGGGAAGGGAGGGAAAAATAAAATAAGATGAAATCAGAGAGAGAGACAAACCATAAGAGACTCTTAGCTATAGGAAACAAACATGGCTGCTGGAGGGAAGGTGGGTGAGGGATGGGGTAACTAGGTGATTGGCATTAAGGAGGGCAGTTGATGTAATGAGCTATGGGTGTTATATGCAATTGACAAATAACTGAACTCTACATCTGAAACTAAAAAATAAATTAAAAATAAGTCAATCAGAAAAATAAATGAGGGGTAAAATATCAAAATTTTAAATAAAGACATTTACTAAGTTAATTTTATGTAAGTAATTCACTCCAAAAAATGGGAGGGAAAAATAGGAAAACTAGAGAATAATTCAAGGAGTTCCATTATCTGACTATAGTGGTTGCTGAACAAAGAAAAGACAAAATGAAAGAAATAATTCAAGAAAATTTCCCAGAACTGAAGAGCAAGTCTCCAGAATGAAAGGCCAATACACTGCACTGTCCAATACACAGCCCCTGGACACATGTGGCAAGTTACAATTAGATACACATTTATTAAAAATAGATAAAATCAGAAATGCAGTTCTTCCGCCACACCAGCCACATTTCAAGTGTGCAAGAGTCTCATGTGGCTGAAGGCAACCATGTTGGACAACACAGATACAGAACATTTGCATCATTGCAGAAAGGCCTCGTAGACGCCCCTGCCTAGCATAATGGATGACAGCAGATCCACGAAGGCACACTGTAATCAACTTTCAGAACACCAGGGACAAAAAGAAGATCCCAAATGTTTGCACAGAGAGTGAGGGGAGCAAGACACAGGTCACATACAAGGAATCAGAAACCAGAAGGCCACTAATCTTCTCAACAGTGATACTAGAGACAAGTCTCTAGGTCTTCAAGTTCACAGGGAAAATTCTAGCCCACCTAGAAGTCTATGCTCAAATCAGCCATCAAATAAGAGAGTAGAGATATATTCAGACACACACATTCTTAAGAAAAATTTACTCCTCTGCATCACTCTTCTGAAAGCTACAAGGAGATGGCCTCTGCCAAAATGAGAGAGAAAACCAAGAAAGAGATCAGGTGGAGTAAGGTATCACTAGCTTTGTTATAACCACTGTAGTACTGTTCAACTTTCTAAAGCATGTACATCTATACATTCGTTCTTAAAGATAAATTCTTAAAAGCCTCAGACCAGGTATCAGCTCCTCCCAACTCCCTCTGGAGACAAGTGTTCATTCTCTGTGCTCTCAAAGCACCGCAGCTGACCATCTGCCATATTGAATCTGTCTAT